TTTCAAACCGTCATTTGACATCCTCACGTGAAACGACGGCAAAGACCCGCCTTAAAGACTATTGGCTGGTAATAGTAAATCAATAAAGCGCCAAAACGTGGCTCATATAAACCAAAAAATATAAACTGAGATTAGTGACAATTAACAAGATATGTATTGCTGATGTAATGTTTTGTATATATGTCCACAAGTATGTCCAGTAGTTACTTAAATCTTATTCTAGCTCTTGCACACATGGAATCAATTTCGAGACAAACCGAAGACCAATGTCTTCGTCACTTCATGCAACACACTTATTAACTACTATTCTTTCAGCACACTCATCGCAGTACCTTAAGACATTTTGCTGGATGTAAGAAGCCACTAAGTTGTGCGTATGTGTGCAGTGAAACGAGATTCGGACGAAATTGGTGCATAACTTGTACCGAAGCCTAAATAACGAATTCACCAAAGTGACTACGAGTCTTGCAGGTGAATATATTGACAAGACAAACTATAGAAAACACATTTTTGGCTCATTACATGTGGTGACATCTCTCAATGGCTAACCCATCTGGCGGAATCAATATGGCTGCAAAGTGCCCACCAATATCACCGGAAGTCAAATAAGTAACGCGTTACTTACATGTGTAAGGTTTTATTCCTTTCCTTTCCTTTCATTTATTTTAATTTAATGTAAATATAATCCGAGACTCTAAAAGCAGATTAATGCGAATAATTTGGCTTACGTTACTGAAAGTTACTGGACGGAAGGGGTAGGTGGTTGCCGATGCAGCGTTCCGAGACTTTAGTCGAGTGGAAGAAGGCAGTAACAAAGAGTTGAATGCATGTATTTAAAAGAGAATGAAGCAGCTAGTCTCGAGCATGGCTCGAGGGCCAGCTCGCACGTACAAGGATCAGACGAATCTTGACCAACGAACGCCAGGGAATCACATAAACAAAGCATCACAACTAAATGCAAAAGCTAAGTCCAGAACTTTTATTCCTATTGTAAGAGCTGTCTGCCTACCCTCTGGCCCTTAAAAACTCAGGCTTCAAGAGAGAGTTGGTTGCAGATGATTTATTTAACATTCGTTATGGGAAGAATGGGGAATGGAATGCAGATGGGCCAAATTATTCAAAACTTCTTTCAGGCAAGTTTTTCTTTGGTATCTTCACTACCTGCATTGTAAAGGATGAATTCCAATTTGAATGAGTTTACTAGGGATGGAACAGAGCATGTGTTGCAGACGGTCAGATAAGTAACATACAATATTGCTCCCCTCTTCTTTTGCGAGACGTCTACAATGCTCGCTGCGAAGGAACCTCGTCATTTTTAAATTCTCTCTGTGGTCTACTCAGGACGCGGTTTGCTTACAACAAAAAAAATATGAAACCCGGAGACTCGATTAACCCAACACCACAATGAACACAATGAACACTAATTTTTTCCTTCAACTACTACACTCTGTTATATTTACTCGAGTGTGTGAGGACCATGAGGAATACCTCTGAGTAATATTTGCTATTTGGCTCATCTGTACTCCTAATAAATCTACTACAATTAACACTTTTAAGGTCTGGTTCAGGAGCATAAGGCATGGCTAGCAGTTCCTACACACTTAGCTCAATATTTTTATCTAGTATCTAAAGGATCTATTAAAACAGCACCTTTAACGCATCACACTCTAGTCGATACAACTTCTGCAACTGCCATCACATCGTGTGTGCTGTGCGATGCTCACAAGACAATCGTGCTAGGGAATATACTTGGCTAATTCAGCGATTTCGCCTAAAAAGCAGGACATCACTTTGAGGCTCGTATTGCCCTTGACTGCATACAACGGCATTTCCATTTTGGCTTCTACTTAATGCGTTCTCATACATTATATGGGACCCTTCCTTATTTCCATTGGCTATCCTTAAGGAAAAGACAAGGTTAAATCGCTTCTACTTTCCCTCGTATGAGTGTAATTCGGCCTTGTTGTGTGCGTTCTCCCACAAATTTGGGATGGCTCAGAACACTACAGAGTAAATGCAAAATTTTGTTTATAGGTTCTCGCTGTGATGCTTTGTTTGTGTAACTACCTGCTGTTCGAGGGTCACTATAGGATGTGTCTGGCTCTTGTACATGTGGGTTGGCTTTCGGGTCATGCCCAGGCCCATTTGTCCTGTCGTCTTCAGAATACATGCATCCTACTGCACTTACTGGCTTCTTATATTAACCAGAAGGTCTCGGGACGCTACAATCACCTATGTTAAATGCTTTTAGTATCGATTTACACGTCTGGGAAGAGAAAGTTTTGTCTATACAACCACCTATGTGACCAAGGCTCACCTAATATTTCGCCAGCACTTCATGCTTTGGTGGTCCTTTTGGGCAGACCAAAGCCCATGCTATTCTTTTTCTCTTTGAGTGCTTTTATTGATCCCCACTTGACGCTTGTTTATACCTGCTAAGAAGTATAAATAATATAAATAATTGTAATTTTGTTTTATGAATATTTTTGGCTTGGTTTAGCTATCCTTTCGCTATCAGGAAAAACGTGGACCAAATTTAGGCATTATATATGTGGTAGTAGTATCCACAATGTTATCAAGTAAGTGTTTACATTAATTTCAACTTCATCTATTGATTGGTATGGCTTAAAATTGTGTTTTCTGTGAAAACCCTAATTTGCGCCTAAATGTTAACTACGAATCAATTAAGATCAATATTCTTTCTAATACTACCTAGAGCACCTGGCTATTTACTGAACTAATCAAATGTCTTAGCAGCAACGTTATTTTTTAAACGATCACTCGTGTTTATACCAATTGACCTAGTTATGTCAACTTCAATTCCAGCATAAGTGTGTGTTGTCTTTGCTTTTGGGCCTCAAATGTCGATCGAATTGGAATCCGCCGAGTAATGTTTTTTGTATTACCTGGTGACCTTTAGTGTTGTCCGTCTTATTGAACAATATTTAAAGGAGAACAATCTTTTGCGTACTTTGCAAGTGTTGCAGGTTGGTGTCGTATGAGTAATTTATTTCCTCATAGGAAGAAACTGGAGTTACCCTTAATACCGTCGATTCTGTTGAAAGTTTTATGAACGAAATTACAAGCGGTCATTGGGATACCGTTCTAAAAGTTGTGCAAAATTTGAAGCTTTCGGACCATAAACTTATGGATCTCTACGAACAAGTGCATTCTTTAGATCTGCTTTTTATTCACTCAACTTCTCTTAAAGATCGTTATAGAGCTGGTAGAGCTGCGAGAACTAGGCGCAGCTCGGACTCTTCTCCGTCAAACGGATCCAATGGTTCTTCTCAAACAGAATCATCCAGATCGCTACCTGCATTTGGAAAACCTTTTGGCCCGATCCTACTTTGATCCCCGTGAAGCTTATCTTGAGGGGCAGTCCCGCGAAAAACGGCGTCAGGCTATTGCTTCTGCTCTATCTGGGGAGGTCAGCGTAGTTCCGCCCTCAAGACTTCTGGCTTTGTTGAGTCAAGCTCTGAAATGGCAACAGCATCAGGGTCTCCTTCCTCCTGGAACGGCTATTGATGTTTTCCGCGGTAAGGCGGCTGTTCGAGAGCAGGAGGAAGAGAAACCACCTACACAACTTTCGGCAACAATCAAGGTTTGTTTTACGTTTTACTCAAGTTCAACTGACATAACGGACTGTGTAGTTGGGTCAGAAGACACATGTTGAATGCGCAAAGTTCAGTCCAGATGGGCAGTATCTAGTAACAGGATCTGTGGATGGTTTTATTGAAGTGTGGAATTTCATCACCGGAAAGTTGAGAAAAGACCTTAAGTACCAAGCACAGGTACGTCTGTTATTTGACGCTTTATAATTTTTCTTTGATATTTTTGGGGCCTTTGCGTATTATTTTAAGTATACATATATACTTCGTCATTTTAATGTTTGGTGTTTCTGTTTGGGACTGGAGAAATTTACAAAGTTGAAATATGCACCAAGCGATTTATCTATGAAGTATGAAATACAAACTCCTTTCTTTGGAACAAATTTCATTAACTCAAAACAAATCTCTAGATCTAGCAATTTTTGCATTAACATTTTTAAAAGTGACGTTGAATTACATTTGTACTTCATTACGGAACAGCAGTGTATTAACTGACTTGATAACTATGAAGTGGTTTTAAGTATTCTCTAAAAGCGAGGCCATGCGGCTTGTTACTTA